GCTCGAACCACATTCAGTCACTCGGCATTTGATTAATGCGCAGCACCATCCCCAAAGCCGTTGCACTGCTAGCCTGGTTGTGTTGCAGGATTTGTTTTTGGAGTGCAAACCTGAAGTTTATAACTGTTTGTTGTGACTTAAAAACTTTTAAAACAACTTTTGCCGGGCTTTACTTCAATCCTTCCAGCACTGTTTGTAATGTTCCTCATCTGTATCCGAAGCTCTGGAGAGCACTAAATCCCATTTGACCTAAAAGGATGAAAATGACCTCTCTGTGGAGCATTACTGTGCCAGCAAACCCGTCTCTGCTTTGCTGGCTGCACCTGGGGAGAGGCGACTGGAGGATTTAGTGCACTCATGGGATGTGGTACATGTGGTGAGGATTAATGAGCACAAATTAATTCAAAGCAGGCAATTCTCTGCCTTTTGTTCAAATTACCTGCTTTGTGGATAAACAGGGAAGTTAAATGCAAACAGTAATTCTTCCCTTGTCTGCTGTGTGTTCATATCTCCTGTCAGGGGGTTCGTGTTATATTCTGCATCTGGGTTCTGTTGCCACGCTTCTGACTTAATGAATGCGCAGAGAGCTGGAGGGACAGCTTTAATCTCCTGGCAGTTTCAGCTCACTGGTCCTGATTCTTTTTCCATGAGATGCAGCAGCAGGTAGTGGATCAGCTGGAAACGTGTACGGTTGCAGCTTGAGCAGGTACTGAGGCTGGATGAAAATTACATACGTACCCATTGCTAAGCACATCAGATTGATCATGAAACCCTGAGCAGGAACTTACAATTGGTCCTTGAGGCAAAGTGTGGGTAGGAAGGTCACAGTCTGGTCAGAGAGTTCCATTAAGAAGGTCAGACACATGTCAAGCTGTCTGCATCTGGTCACAAGTCGTATTGATTTCAGAGGTCAACGGAATCAATTTGAGCCAGAATGTTATCCCTCAGACTGTGGTTTTATCTAATAATGATGTGTCTTTACATGGAGCTTTCAATCACATAACTGCATTAACACCAATATAGTTTTTACTCTTTTACTCCTTTTGTAATTATTATCAAGGTTGCCATTTAACGTAGTGATAAAGTTAAGAATGGCATGAGACTCTGCTATAAATTAAGTTTTACTTTCTTAAACCTGATCATTAAAATGGCTGCTGGGGTGCATTTATAGTTCCACCCATCCTTCCATTGGCTGGACCCCTTCTAAGTAGGGTCACAATGGGGTTGGAGCCCTCCTCAGCCGCCATTGGGTAGCAGGGTACACCCTAGAGAGGTAATAATCAGACGTACTTCCAACTAATCTTATATTTTCCAATATCCTGACACATTAGCACCCATTTTGCAATTTGCAATCAAAACTGCTTTTATGGTCTGTGAACGTTCCAGGAAAAGCCTTTTAACCGCCCTGTGAAAAAGACATACAATGGTTTGTAATTAAAGAGATTATCTAATTTATTATGTGTATCTCTTACAAGAACTCTGTCAATTTTTTTAACTTTTAACAGATTTTTTAAGGTTTTTTTTAACACAGATCTAGCGTCTTATTTATTGCAATTGTGCAAAAGTGCATTTATGGTAAAATAGAATGGTAGCAGAAAGGTTACCCTTTGTTTTTACTTCAGGGTTACAGTTCATACATTTGCTCAGCTCTGGAATATTAGTCTTTCTTTTAGCCAATGCATTTATTTCTACATTGGTATGCACTCATGCTAATGTGGCTTTATCACCTTGCTGCAAATTCAGTTTTATGCAAATATGTAGGGTGACTCTAGGACACAGCTTGTCTTTTTCTATGTGAGGAAAAGTAACCCCCATGACACACAGTTTAGCAACTATAAGAAAAGCTTGAGGGTTGGCTGTTCTAGGGTCAAGTATAGGCTAAACGTTTGCTCTGCACAATGGACTGATGCAAGAAGCATCAGAAAAAAAAGATGTTTTATATCACACCACCAGACAAACGTGTTTTCTGATTGGAATGGTTGAGCTCAAATAAACCCAGACAGACATGTTTGAGGAACGTTTCCTCCCCTCATCCCAATGGACTTTATATTGCCTTCCCACCTCACAGCCTCCTCTGAGACACCGAATGGACAAAACCTGTTTCAGCTTGAGTTATGCTTTCCACAATAGTGTAACATAGAAAGTGATTTACCAACAACTAAATAAGGAAACTTCATTTGTTACAGATGCTGCATAAGCTGAGACTGAGCCTCTGCTGATGTTGTCATCGTAGCATGAGGAATCCTTATTGTCACATTGAACTTTTCAACCTTTCAGTCATTTCAGCAGCGACTAATGTTCTTCTTGTCTTGGATTTTCTGACTTTTCACGCACAGACACATCTCCAGCGTTATCTTTTGTGGTTGGGAATATCACAGTTTCCGCTTTGGTGAACAGACCCGTCTCTTTCTAATAAAAATATTTCGCAAAGCTTTGGGTTGCCACAACTAAACTCTCCTTCTGCAGCTTGTCACTTGAGTGTCTGTACAGTACAGTAGGACAGATTTAAATGTATAGACACACTATCAAGTCAAAATGTCTTTGGCTGTGTCTAATTATTAATCATTGTCATAGAATGAATCAACAAATAGAAAAATAATTAAATCACTCATGGGTCAAATAGTCTGAAATACTTGTCAGCATGTGTAATAATCACAAGCCGTTATGCAAACCTGTACAGTAACTTATCAGGTTGAAAAAATGACCCCAGTCAAACTTTACTTGAGAATAATAAAAGTCATTTAATGTATTCTGATAGAATGGAAGAATGGAAGCAATTAGATGAACCAATTTGAAGTATTTTACAATGGTCTTTCAGTTAATTTCAGGGCTTTCACAGTTATTATAAAGCCATTTCTATTCACATCTCCTCTGGAAATGATGAGAAATATAAGTGCTGAAAAAAGTATCTCTCAGTTTGAAATTGAAAGAAAAAACACAAATGATCATTTATGATAAAAGCTCTATTGAGCAGGTGATTGATTTGACATTTTGGAAATATTCACTTCTTACCCAGCTTAGCATATGATCAAGGAACAGTAAAACAGCTGGACTTGCTCACGGCAAAAGTAAACAAATACTCCCACAAGCATAAGCTCATTAATTTATGTGTTCTATCTTGTTTGTTCAATCTGTGACTCTGTGTCATATTTGCATTATTGATCCAAAGCAGGCCAAAAGTCAGATTTTGTGCCCTGAAGTTGTTTTTTTTTTTTTACAGTTCACTGTGTACATACCCTGCTACTTAGTGGATTTTAAATGGACATGTGCTAAGACTACAATTTACTTTTCTTACAGTTAACCATCTATGTACCCTTTGACTCAATCCACCCCTTCCCATGTGTGCTATCACCTTTAAGACTTAACAAAACAAAAACAGCTTATGTGCCAGCAACTTATACAAGAAAAATGACATGGTTTGTGTTTTATCTATTCATTTTTTTAATTGGGTTTGATTTGGTTAAAAACACCAAGTAATTTTACCATCAAATTGGAATTACTTCTTGTTCAAGCTTCCTTCTAACAGACATGGGTTGGCATTATCACTATGAGGCTTATGCAATGTTTATTTTTACTCCTCCGGCCATTTTGAAGCACACTGCTGAGCAAACAAACAAGTAGTAGGTACTGAAATCTCCTCTTTTAATCTGAGAGAAGCCTTTTGGCTATCAGACTCTCATCCACACCAGTGAATTTACCCAGAGCCATGTCAGTCACTGCCTCTGTCCTTCCGCTATAAACCCCCACACTGTCTGAGATATCGAATTTGCTCAGCTTCTACTGTGTTTTACGACCACAATCTGATTGCACATTTAGTTGATTTAATTTGCCGTACTTGTGACCAAACGGTGCGCTGCTGGCGCACTATTAGGACTTGGTGAGGATCTCTTTGATGTATCCAAGTGTGCATGGATGTCATGAGAGTCTTCTTCATGTTACATGGGGATACTGTAGCTTTGGTAAATTGGGTTGCTTTGACCCAGGCTGTGTTTTCTCATGGGACTCTGGTCTGCTTTAGAGACCTGATAAGAGGACCTCGCAAATATGGCTAATGAGCTCTAACAGCATCACTGATGACGCTTGGGCATTAACCAAAGCAATGAATTTGATATCTCTCCACTCCCCAATCTTTTGTGGAAGAGGGTAAATGATGGTAATTTAGGCAAGTGGTAATCCAGGTTTGAAACATGAAGAAAATTCTTTGGCACAGACCAACAACGCTACTGTGGGCCGAATTGCAGTTTTAAACTGTAAGAAGCACAGGACGTTTGCTCTTTTAATACCTTTGTATTACAAAACTCGTAACTTTGCAGATGTGTTGATAATTTAGATAAAAACATAAATATAATAGATTCATTCAACTGTATCAATGGTCTCATGTGCTATCACCTTTACTTATAGTACTTTAAAATCTGTAATGCAGGTTGTAATCAACCTGCAAAAATGAATACTTCCTTCCATTTTCTACACCACTTACTCCCTGAGGTGCTTACAGACAACCACACACACTCATTCCTAAGGAAATTAAGCATGTCCCATCAACTTAATTATTTACCCTTTTTGTCCTTATCTTTTTTTAAAAACTTTTCTTCCCTTACACGTGAGCTGTGAGCACCGTACAGTCAAGCTTACACTATAGGGGAAGTATTTGTCACAGCATGCTTTCTAATCTAATTAGATGGAAAGAGTGTTTATAGCTGTTGTCTCATCCACACGCAAAGGGAGTGCAAAAAGCCAAGACAAAGCTGTTTTGCAGTAAAAAAGGCTGCAGCTTCCACTCTCAGCAGTACAATCACTGATAAGCTTGATGGAAGCTCGCACAGCTCACGGAGTTATAGAGCTCATAATTAAATAAATGTGAAGGCAGCGGTGACTATTCAGTCTCAAGTTGAGCACCACTGAAAAAAAGGAGGTACTTTTGAATGTCATTTCCCCAAACAGCATGTAAACCCTTCAGGCTTAAACAACACAGCATAGCTTTGGAACCTGTCTTACAGTCAGCCAAACCAGAAGGTGTGTGGGTAAGGAGGATGGATAAATGAATCTTTAGTATTCACCAATACAAAAGCCAGAGCAAGTTAAACTCATCTTTAACATATATTGCATTTTATTCTTTCACTTTTTGCACAGAGGACACAATATATGATAAATTGTTTACACCTTGACAACAGTCAGCTGTCACTGATCTGTTCTTCACACCAAAATACTGTACGTAACCACCGTTAAGAAAAAGATTTAAAGAAATATATTGTTTTTGGGCTTTTCAGTAAATACATTCATAAAGAACCACTTTGGTCCAGGAAGGGGAGTGACCTAAGCTGCTGGCTTCAAACATATATAAAGTATGGTCATGGTCACATATGAAAGCTCATCAACTACTCCACTGAAAGTTACTTTACTCAATGTATTCAACATTTGTTATGGTGTGAGTGTGCAATCATTCTCCTCCACTCCTGCTGTGTGTGTGTCATTCCCCCAGTACAATTACTGGGTGTCTACCTGCTCTATTACAACCCTCAGCAGATGGTGATAGAAAATAGCTTCCATTCGCAATTTTTGTTTCCAACACACTGAAGAGCGGCAAGCGGCTGAAGCACACAGCTATTATCCACACGACCAAAATGTTTCTAATTTGCTCTAAGGGGCCAAATGCATAAAGGATGTGTACATAAAAAAACTACATGCCCATACCATTATCTCCACATACAAATACAAAGGTGGTTTGTCTGGTGAAAATGGGTGTATCATGCATAACCATGCTTGGAACAATTTTAACTTGATATTAACTGTCTAAAAGTATCAAAACTCATAGAAATTATTCTTAAATTTTGTTCCTTGGCTTTTGTCATCCTCTCATTATGGGATCTACGAATATCGTGACTGTGAGGCTAGCAATAACTGCCAAATATTTGTGCAAATCGATGGCTTGTCTTGCATCGCTGAACTCATGTCACTTTGGGAGAGGAACTTATATTCAGAGACTGCTCTGATTTTGGAAAACTGGCTAATATGTCACTTTAGACTTCCAAATGTTTCATACCATCCTTTATGGGTACATCTGTTTCTCCTCCCTGATCCTCTCGACTAATGGTTCTTTAAACCCAATATTCACTTTGTGCATTCATCAGCAGCAGATTAAACAGAGATTGCCAGTTCTTATCTCATATCTGTCACTATTTATGAACACTCATGTGTTCTAGTTTCTTATTAAAGCCATTTCATTTGAACCTCCTCTAATTTATTTGTTTTGACTTACAAAATATTGTCCTTCCTATTGAGGATATACATTTTTTTTTGTGAAAAAAGTCTTGCCATATTCAAATGTACGAGCATGCAAGCAGCTCTTTGTGGATAAAGAAAGCAGTAAACAGATTAATACATGCTCGTGCAATTTTAGGATTTAAATGATTAAAAGAGAACTATGCATCCACACAGCTTCATAAATGTGGTAGAAAGAATACACATCTTTGCTTTTTTATGTACACACCTCAAATGTTTTTTATGCGTCTTGCCTCTAGAAGCCAAAGAATTGTAACTTCATGAAAAATACAGAGCTTCCTACTTTAGCACCAGCATGAAATCTAGGAACATGCTGCGCACTTTAAGATGCAATACAGAATATAACAGAGTAAGGCTTCCTTGTATTGACCTGACTACTTTGCTTTGTCTTTAGCCAGCTGAACCAGTTCATATCAACTCCTCACCTTCTGACTGCTGGTAAAAACTCATTCAACTATAACACATCCACAAATCTGGAATACTGAAAGTACATATATATTCATACCCTGAAAATATATTTTGCACACTCACACACTCACAAGTATGCATGAATACATTGACTGCAATCAAATAAAATCATCTGTATAAACACAAACATATATGTACACACAATATTTACCAATTATAAATTAACAATGTGCAAATAGTCATACATACATAGTCAAGTTCAGCTATTTCTGCCATTTTAGAACTCAAAGTTTGATTAAGGCTCTGCAGGCAGGTTCCCTTGTTTATTAAGAGTCAAATGTACCACTAACATTGTTATTGAAATGTTTTTAAGAAAAGCTTTGTTCCATTTTTACGCTGCAGAGTTTTGTTCAGTGTGCACAGCTGCTGTAGAAACAGCGTATGGCTGAATGGAAAAACTGTCCACGGAGTAAATGAGTGCATGCAGTCTTTAGCACAGTCTGTTTTGACTTTTACATCATGTAGGTGCTTATGGGATGGCACTGCAGGAAATGCCTACTGGGTGAAGGACTCACGCGACTAAAGGCCAGTAAAATCTGCATGGATAACATTACAGCACTGTTTGTCTCTTTTCCCGAGGCAGCAAGTTATTTTGGGTGATGCATGACTGGATCTTGTATTTCATCCTTCATTTGTGTGCACAGCATCCCCCAAATTAGCTACAATCATATGGGCTGAATAAGTCAACATGATACCCAGGGGGAGAAAAAAGTAGAGCTGTGGTTCAGTCATTACTCTTAAAAATGCATTTTATATACCAATTATCTACCACTCATCAATATTTGAGCTTCAATCTATTAAATCTGTTTATTCCAATGAATCACCTTAAAAAAATAATCATTTCAGCTATTTTTTTTAGATCTTTACCACAACATCTCCTGACCTCTTTTTGATATCTATATATAAGCCAGGAAAGACGTGGGCCAGCAGCTGCCAATTTCCCATGGACAATAACACTGTGGTCACCTGTTGGAGGGACAGTCAACAGAATGTTTTTTTTCTCTGTACATTTTCAGCTCAGTATGGACAAAAAAACAATTTGCAGACACCAGAGCAAAGCATTTGAAAAAAAGTGTTTCCCCTTTCTCCGCCCCCTGTTTTGTGTTGGTGGTTTTGGTCTTGCTTTTTGTGCACACAGTCCAATCTCAAGTTTGTTGTTCATTCTCAGTACCACAAAGCACACACTTAGCAGACAGCAAACATTAAAGCAGAGGCTCAAGGCAGGACCCTGTGTTTTTCGTTGCCATTTGACTTTTCCGATTGTTCGTTACTTTACACGGCTTAACTGCCCCAAGATGATGCTGTCAAATTGTTCGAATGGCAACTGTCTCAGCAAATGTAAAGGCAAATATCAACAAAATGCATTCATGAGACTTGCAGCATGTTGCATTTCTCATTGTGACTGTCTGCCATGTTATCCATTCGCAGTGAGGCTCCGTCTCTCAATGATGTCGATCAGTGAGAAGCGCTTGGGTGAGTGTCTCAGTCAGCACAGCTTAAAACTGGATGAGGATGATTCCACTTTTCTACACAAAGTTCCTTTTCCTCGTTTCATTCAAAGGTGGCTTTCCACATTTTCTTTCTCGGCCTCGTTATTCTGCATCTGGTCTGAAAGGCTGATATCCTCAACCAGGGTGCAGTTGCTGATGGCTCCCCCATGCTGCTGAGGGTTGCACCTGCCCTGCCCCTTGCTGTGCGCCGAACCGTTGTGGCAGCCACCAACAAGCATGTGCTTCTCTTCAGGGCTACAGGCCGGGGCGGAGGACTTTGTGAGATCCGGGAGGTGAGGCAGCCTCGAGACGTGGTTCAACAGGCTGGCCGTCTTCGTGTTGGGGGTGTTGCTGTAGGTATGGCGGTATTCCTCCTCTATGTTCCTTCCAAGCTTCCAGCGCTTCCACTTCTTCAGAATCTCTGACTGCACCTTTGGAGGGTACACAACAAAAGTAGATATTCTAAATGTCCTGATACGTTTTTGTATGGACAAAGTATAGTGCAACTAAGGAGACTCACTTCTTTGTTGACAAAACAGTACAAGATGGCCACAAGGAGACCCTGAGGAGACAAAAAAAATTATGTATTTGCACTTTGATCATATTTCGCATTTTTGCAACTTAAATCTCCTTTTGTGTAGCTATTTCATGCTATTGAACTAGCTTCTGGTTCCACTTTCACATCAGGCCCTCGTTTACTGATCACCACATCTGTTTTCCCTCAGTACTTATTCACCTACTTTAACTGGGTTTGCCCTCACGTTCAATCATGCTTTTTCTCTTTGGAATTATTTTAAGCTTTACTTTCAACATAGTGAAGGATAAATATCTCTTTTTAGGATGCAATTCTTGACTGGCAGCTGTGGATTCAGTCACATCAACCTTTCCAACTGTTAAGCTTGGGCCATCTGTTAGAAACATATTAATAATATCCTGATTGAAATCATATTGAGTAATTTAATAATTAAACAGAAATCAGGGACCAAAATGTCAAAATATTTTGTGTTTGTTTTTGTAGGATGTCAACAGCTGAGCTGACGATGCCACATAGTAGCAAATATAGACCACATGTATGGAAACTCCCAGCTAACTCTTCAATATTCATGGTGTATAAACTATATCGTGGCCAAATAAAAAATAATGCATTCCCACCCATTCTGCCTTATTCTTCCCATTGCTCCAAATTCATGCATTTTATCAAGCCTAAATCTTTTTTTAATATCTCGCTCTGAACTCTGGATTTGAGGTCTTATTCCAGGCGATCAACTGATCCCACACGTAAACACCTCTTTTCCCTTTTTTTCCGCTTACCCATCAAAACAGACTCATTAAAAAGCACCAGATTTGCTCGAAATCGCTTAAGCAGCTGAGCATCCGAACCATGAGAAAATGTGTTGGAATGTACATAGATCTAAATGAATCTAAATATAAAAACACACTTCCATAACTTAAATTACGAGCTCTAAAAGATGGTGCGTGCAGCTGTAGGGACTCACATTTAGATGTCATATTAAACTAATGCTCAGATAATACAAACTTTCTGTGACCATATAAAATCAAGACATAAGATGTAAGCCTGCGGCGTTGCTCCATGCAGACTGCCTGCTGAGTCCTGAAAAGTCATGACCACCCAGTAAGTTAAAGCTACTTTTAGTATAATTAAAACCTCATAATTTGATTTTGAGTCTGTCATTGGTGAACTTCCATTCAAAGGCAACAACTGTCCACAGTGCTGACTGTTTGTTTCACATCTGAAGAAACACAACTGAACACGTTCTTTTTAACTGATGGCCACGATGAAATAACGATTGGAGTGCCAACATAAGCCCTTTTGAGTACAACCTGTCTTTGGATAAAACTTGCTTAGCTATAATCGTCATTTTCATTAGGGGATCCTATTCGCGTCATGCTCTCTTATAACCTGCTCTGAAGATCGTCTGTCGTTTGGGTCCCCATAGCTTAAAGGTCCCCCTTTCATTATGTCACAGTGTGATACAGATATAACATGTGGCATATTACACTGAGCTAATGTTATCCATTCTGACACAGACTAAATACAGCACCTCCCAGTTTGTTGGTAAAGGTTCAGTGTTTTCTTATTCAACCTGTTTTTGATGAACTCTACAAAGAATCAGTACTGTCGTGGAGAATTTTCTTTTTGTTTCTTTGTTAAAGCTACTGTTGTTGATTGCTTTAGGGAGAGTCGTCTCACACGTCTGGAGACTGGTTTTAGCACCACTAGGAAATGCAACAATTTCCTTAATCCCATCAAGAATGAATCTCCCATTCCTGTTTATCATTGAAATTGTACTACTTGCCCTTTTGTGAAACCCTCACACCTGAGAAGGTTTTCCTTTTGACCAATCCACATGGGGGCCCTTTCCTGTCTCCTGAGAATATGCTTAACCCTGTCCCTTTGGAGATTCTCCATGGGACCTCCTGAGGACTAAATGTAAATCAGAATCTCTTTGTTTGTTGCTGATAAGAAACACAATGACTTCTTTTTTATTCCTTTATCCATACTATGTTATAAAAGAGGACGTGCCTTTCCATCGGTGCGCATTCACTTGGGTTTTTCTCTGTGACTGCGTCTTCGAACGCTCTTGCCTTCGAATAAATCTCTTTATTGGACAAGATCGATCTTCTCTAATTATTAGGAAACTTTGCCTCACTCTTTTAAATAACTTTTTCCATAACAGTACTTCTCCATTTCTTTGATAAAAAGGCTAAATCATTAAAGGAATTATGTGGCCACTGTACGCAAAGTAGGAAATGAAGAAGAAAAAAGACATTCCAGACATCCAACCTGGAAGGAAGAGAAGAAGAGGTCAATAAAGAGCTTGGTGAGGCGTAAACCGATGGTGGCCTTGGTGGACTCGTCCGTCACAAAGATAAAGACGACCTGATGAATACCCAACAGGGGGATCAGCGTAAGGGTTGACTTGGCCAATCTAAGATGTAATAACAAAAAAAAAGAATTAATAATAATAATACGTCTTGAGAAGGAAGACAATAACAATACTTGACAAAAAAATCCTCCAAACTCTTGAACTCACCTGAATTTGTAATCTGTGTATCTCATTTGGTGTGCTCGAAGTTTTGACACAAGAATCTTTATGATGTGGATAAAGATCAGAAAGTTTATCTGTGAAGGACAAAGATACAAATCTTATGTATGTAAGTATGTAATAGATTTTGTTCATTATCTAAGAAATTAATTCGCCATTCGCCAGTTTGTTAGCTGTTATGATTTTTTAGTGTTTTTTAGTGGCTGTTTATCTGTAAATGTTGAACAAAGAAGCCAATGTAACAAGTCAGCCTTTTTCCAGTTCCTTATGACAACCTAAGGAGGGCTAACTTAGTGCTTATAGATGAGCACACATTAAAGTGAGTGGGACTTTGTGCATTTTTTTCCTCTGATGTGATGCTTGAAAATAGTGGGATGAGTATAACTAGGAAAACACTGAAAAGCGGACCAGCCCTCCAATTCTCCAAACAACTCAAACACAGGAATTCCTGTGGGATACAGGCCACTTAGAGGGACTACTAATTCGTGGAAAATACCAGGATGTCTGACTTCAGTAGGAGTGGCGATACATTGGAGCTATATGGATGCTCTGAACTGATCCTTGCAGACATAGCTGGTCAATGCATCGTAATCATATTTATTCAAATCAAATCCTTTGAGCTTTAAAGCATCACCCAGATGTTAGATCTGAAGCACATCCAAAATTTGACATTTCATAAATAAATGAGGTATATTAAATAATGTATAATGTATGACTATGAAGGAAACATGCTGTAGTCAAGTGTAAAACCCAGTTTGCTTGAATATTTTGGTGGCTGACTCCTTAATGGCAATATAGAAAACAAGAAATAGATAGCAAGTAGACAAGAATGAGAGGAAAGAAGAGGAAATTACCACAACAGCGAGGAGTATCGGGGCACGGATTATCCACCAGTAATTCATGTTTATATTTTGCTCCCAGCACCTGAAAATGAAACGCATGAAAGAACACATCACCAAGGGAATACCAGAAACATTTCCTGCACCTTTCATTGATCACTTTGTGTACATTAGGACAAAACTGACATTTTGACTTTTTTTCTTTTTCCTTTTTTATTACCATGTTTTGCTGCACTTGCTTAAACAGAAGGCTTTTCTTTTTGTCAACATTTACAAGGTGTGGCTTTAAAATCATTTTCAACCCTTTTGCCTCTCAGCAAGATGCAAAATTGTGAGGGAAATTATGAGATTGCATGTATACATGAAATACAAAGATTGGAATGTGGCTTAATAAAATCTATTGAAGTTAAATAGTTATATTATCATCACAAGCTTAAGTTAAGGTCTGCTTTAAATTAGAGACCATCATCACAGGATTAACAAATGAAATACCTTTAAAACAAGACCAAAGGAGAAGAACTTACTCTTGATTTTCATATAAATATTTAGCAATCACCCATGGTAAAAGGAATATTAATGGCGTACCTGTGGAATAAAGATATACAAATGCTTATTTTCTATTTACTTGAACCTTTCATTTTTGTTTGCTCCTTCCTTGCTTCATACAAAAATCACACATCATTTTTCATATTCTGCACACTCAAACAGTCCAGCTCACCCCAGCCAATACACAAATAGATCTTAAAGTAGTTCCTCTCTGTAAAGACAGTGATGACCAGGAGGTTGTGGAGGTAGATGCCCTCCACCAGTAGCCAGTAGCTGTTGGCCATGATGCTGTACTGCATCATCACCACGGCGATGCGACAGCTAATGGAAGTCTGCAAGAGAATAGTAAGATGCATGTCATCAAACTAACAAGCTGGAATTTAAAACACTTTTGAGCTGCTTTGGATGGTGAGATCAGCATGGGCCCGGCGGGATCGTATTCTGCTGACCCGAGTCAGGTTTTGTGCTTACAGCCATCAAAATGCAACTTTTAGCTTTTAGTTGTGGCCAGCTGTGTCACGGCAAACTGCTCCGTTTGCATTATTTCTATCATTTTACACTTACTAGTTTCTATGTCGCTGTCATTAGTATTGTCAAATTTCCATGGTTCAATTCCTTTAATTCCAAATTAATGCACATTAAAGCACACACACTGAAATGAAATTATTTTGTAACTGAAAGAAAATAAATCCTAACAATGAGCAGCTTTTCTAGCTTTTTAAAATATTTTCGATTGGTACAGAACTTTTTTTAACACGGATACAAATATGCTTTTGAAAAGATATATAGATCGATTATACATATTCTAAATGGTTTGATCAAGAATAATGAAGTAATTTCTAACTTGGCGGAATGGTCACAGCCAAACACTGCCCCACATCATGTGCTGTCTGGCTAAAGATCAATACTGACCGCATTGCTGAACAACAGTTCCACTGGCGGCATAGAGGCGCTAGGGAAGCCCTGGTCCTGGTCTCTGCTGAGGTCCTGCGACGTGTGGTTGGCTTCCAACAGAGCATCTTTGATAAGGATTGACAAAGCTCGGAGGATGAAGGAGGCAAATAGATTCATGTGGATGTTATTCCTCATGCAGTGCAGTTTCCTAAAAGTTGAAAATGAACACAGGTCTAAAAGCCCATCTGAATTCTATTTTATTATTGATCAACAAATAATTAAGTCAGCTGGATTTAATTTCACTTGAACAAATAAAAAATACTACCTGAAAAATATAAGAATCCCAAGAGCCAAAACCAACGCCACAAAGGATAGGGAATAGCCCACAGTGTACATGATGCGTATGTGGCCATAGTACTGCTGCAAAGTACATTTCAACACAAGCATTTTAGCATTTTGCTCTTTTCATTTAAATGCCATTAAGCAAAAGGAAAGTACTTTTTATATGTTTTTTTAGAAAAGAGTCGCATCACGAGGCATTTCTCACCGGACTTGGATCATGAGAATCACACTCGCTAGTATTCTTGACAGTGACCCACTGACCGTTGGCATCACATTCCTGATACACCATGCCATGCTGAACTGCACAAAAATGCACAAAGAAACCCATTGACACACTGGCTAAAGAACATGACTGAAGAATATGTATTTGCCAACACTTCTTACCTTTATGATGCCATGGCAAATACCATGGGCATGAAACACTGACGGTGGTGTTGGGGAGTCCATCTGGCCAACAGGCATAATTGTCAAATGTCCTGTTGCACACAAGACCTGAAGTTTAAAAAAAAGAAAAAGAAAAACGTAAAACATGGGCTGATATTATCCGAGTTGTTAAAGTCTCACAACACAAGAAGAAGACTTTGAAGTCATGTCTGCTAAAAGCCATCATGGTGTCCTGTCATGTCTTTCATCTTGAAATCAAAGCTTTCCATCTATTGCCTTGTTCATTGTGGTTTTCATCAGAGAATGCTTATTGTTAGTGTATGGCCAACTGGATGATAAGGTTCACAAAGTGATGTGTCCTATGTCCTCTGTGGCTACTAGCATGTTACCACTCTAATGGATGTGCACTAAGGGTTTGCAAGCGCTGCAGAGCTGGAGAGAGGAGAGGTGCAATTCTGCACATGGTGTGGGAAGTGGCTGCTCTGAAAGCAGGAGGGACACCGCTCCCTGAAACGTTTCCGAAGGCAGATGACATGCCAACAGTCTATAATGCAACTGAAGGGCAACATTCAACGTGGAGTTTAACACTTTACCGATGAAGCAAAAGGGAGCTACATTTGGCTTAGCACGGGGCCAGGAAATCAGCGGAGTGCATTCAATTTATTTCAGGAACAGCTGCACCAATGGCCAAAGCGGAAAGAGGAAACATATGTTGTTTCATAGTCTGGTGGACAAACTATTACCTGGTCTGCTACCACCGTCTCACAAAATGACGGTAAAAAAACTGTCTCAGATGTCTCAGAAAATCTACCTCAACCTTGACCTTGTTTTTAGGCTTTCATAAATTATCTAGGGATTATATCATGACATTATTTGTGTATTTAAGAGCCCAATCAAAAACCTAACAGTGGTTTTAATTTATTTTCTCCATTAACAGTTTCTTGCATTACAACTTTTGAGGGAGACCCGTCAAAGAGATAAAACTTAAGTGAATTATTGTCTGCCTTTTTGTTTCTTTCAGCTGTCCGCATCTTCCCAGCAGTTTTCTGTTACATGCTTCACAGTACATTCCGGAGATGAGAATCGTGTCAGAATTATCTGCCATCACAATGGAGAGCTACAAAGTTGTATTCTCTTGCATTATTTACAACAAGTCTTTCCAAAGGCAGTGCTGATGACACCACAGCTTATATAAAAAAGGGAGATATCCTCATGGCAACTGGAAATGCTGAGTTTTATTAAAGATTTTCAATTATTTTTTCCTAAACTTAACCAAGATTTGATTCTAAACCAGTAGTTTGACGCTTAAATCTGACCGTTTAATTAATGTGCTTAGCCAAATGCACTGACTCACACTAAAAACAGTTAGATCGTTTTAAATGAACTGCTGATTCCTTAAGATACATATGATCCTGGACTAATGACCAATTCAACTCTTTTTAATTTTATTCAACAGCCAAATGTTTTATTTTGGTTTCATGTTTTTGCTACTATAGATGAAACCTTTTTTTTTTTACCAAAGCAATTTCATTGTCAGTTTAGAACAAGGCTCTAACAAAGAAACCAGTACTTTTTGTTTCAACCTGAAAAACCACAATGCCTGTAATCACACTTTGCTGATCAGGTCTGAGGAATTGGAGTTAGGGAGATTAAGTGGACCATCTATAGTGTTGTGACTTCTGAGTTTTAAAATCTAGAGACAGGGCTGTGTTGAGTATGCTTAATTCATTAGAGAGCAATAAAAAATTTAGCTTTGACATGATTGTGAATTTGAAGCTGCAAGGAGTGAACATAAGCTTAGGGTTCCTCGCATTTTCCTCCTTTTTAATGTTTTATATTGCTGGTTGTGTTGTCATAAAGGGCTACCGTCACAATCACCACTTTTTCAAATTTGCAGCCATGATTAACCAATGAAAAAATTACAGTCAGCTTGTTTTATGGATCCTACTGTATACAGGGTGTGGGAATCTCACTCCTGGCCAACAGTTCATGAACACCAGTTGTTACTGGTTAATGTTACCGCATAAATAAATGTGTCAGAATTTACTGGACCAAAGCTCTAACGTTTATTTGAGGAGACACTTAGAGTTATGTAATAAAATAATGCAGCATTCATTTTCTGTCTGTAGAAAAGCAAGCCAGCTATAATCTGGAACCAACCAACTGGTTCTAGCCTCCGCTTTGAACCAGCAATGGAACATGTTTGACCGACAATAAGTAATGGAATTAGACATTTTCCCAAAGAGTTGACAAAGAACAAAAACAGAAGGGAAAGATTGAATATCAGTAAAGATAGGGTTTTTTGTTTTTATTGCTATGATGTTTAAAGCCTATCTCTGCTGCTTTGAGCATGACAGAGAGAGAGAAAATACTTTAATTCAATGCCACTAATAACGGCTAAGAAATAAAATAAAAAAAGTGATGCAGAAGTAATGCGTTTCTCACCAGTGCTGGGTGGGTCTCGACTGTTATTACGTTCACACTCTTCCATGTACAATTTCCAACTCTCCTTCAGTTTATCCAGGGTAGCCGCAGGAGACACCTGAGTGGATATTGGAATAAATTCGATAAAAATCTTGCGTTAAGTCCAAGTTATATCATACATTTTGTCGTCAAAATTGATAGAATGTGACTTCCGCTCAATGCACATGGTAAACTGCCATTTATTTGCTTCTGTTCACTTTTTATATAGAACACAGAAGATACAAGCGATCAACATCACAACAATATGATCCAACAAGATGAAGCTGCATCCCATTTTAATATTTGTCAGTATCCCGGGGATTACATGTGTTAATCTTCTGTACAAATACTCTGACTTGTTCCAGAATCTGGCAGAGATGAAAAACAGACCCTTCATGGAAGGGGATTGAAGCACGTTAACAGAACTCATGCTTGTAAGTTTTTAAAACTGTAAGGAGAATGTACATTTGATGTATTTCTACGAGACTGTGCAGAGTTGTGTCTGTAAGCTCATGGAACCCACCTGGATGCTGCAGGAGACAATGAGCACTGCCAGAAAGAGGAACAGCCCTGACATCCCTTATTCCTGCTGTTGGTGCTGGGAGGGGGGTACTGCAGGATGGGGGAAGGTTTTCACCTCATAAGGGGGCTTATCTACACTCGCCACACAGCCTGGATGACACAGAGACATACAATCCATCAAAGCTCATTGAAAACACATTAACTTGGTTTGGCTTGGCCATACATAACAAGATGACTAAAACAGGAAAAGGCTGGGTCATATCCATCACAGCACAATTATCCCATATTTAGAAAGCAGAGGGATGAAGAAATAAAAGTGAAAAGAAGAGGAAAAGGTTTGTGTTCGTTTAGCTTCTACCCAAAAAAGGGTAGTAATTTAGAGAGGAAAGGACATCCACTGGGAGCCTGACCGGTCCCACTTTTGTCCTCATTTTCTCGCGGCAAAGTCACCTGAAAGATTTAGCCGGACCACCCAGAACCAGGCTGTCATAAAAATCAAGCGCAGGGCCCAAGTCTTCAGGAAATACTGTTTCTTCCATCAGTAAGATAGTTGAAGCTAAACTTACTCACTGACACACAGTTGGCTGCACTTTCTTGTTATGAACAATCAATGTTTGCTTCAGCATGTGTCAGTGTGTGCCAGAGGTCGCTTACCTGCATATTGATTTCCGTACACTCCTGACAGATTTGCCTGAAGCCGGAGAACGGAACGAAATCTGAAACGTTTCTGCAAAAAACACCTTTACCATAGAAACATTTTTGGCTAAAACGTTTCAAATTCCATTCTATTCTAGTCTTGATGTGGGTTAGCGAACGGGTTCATGGTGACGTATTTTGGGTACTAGGGGTAGTTATTCGAGATTCAAGAGTTGAGTGAGCAATGTGCCATGACAGATGAACATTATTTGATCTATGTGCTCCACAAAACCTACAGTAAAAACTTCCCTCGAAGGTGAAAAAGCGACCTGTGGACACCACACACAACTAAATATTCTCCCTTTACATTACAAAACTCAACTGGTAGTCAGACTTGATTTTATCTAAATGAAAGAGTCATTCTTTCTTAATGGCCTGTTCAGTGTAATGACCACTGGATGCACTTAGCACAAGCAGCACTGCCCAATCGCAGTGGGTGCCTAAGGGGTTGGAGCTACTGTTGTCTGATGTCGGGTCAGGCCTGTTCCAGCATGACCCGATAGCAGAACTTACTTTTCCATCAGACAAGTGCTGTTCATAACCCTTTAAAGTATGATCCCAGAAAAACAGACATATTTTTTTTTTGTTTGAAGTCTTTGTTTAACCCTTTAACAAAATATTTTTTTTTTTTTTTTTTTAAATATTCATCAATTGTTTCCATGTGATAACTCAACATTTTTGTTGTGCAGTCTTCTGCCCGCTGTCCTCATGTCATCAGGTATATTTGATTGTGTACAACAGGCTTTTGAGCATTACATGATTCAAAAGGTCTTGGATGCAAAACATTTCAGAAACATGGCATGGCATTATAGACCGTGCATAAAGGCCTAAAGCAAACGTTTGTTGGCTTTCATTCAAAGCTCCCAGCAAATATTCCAGATCGTTAAAAAGTTGTTAAAAAGGGTGTATGCCAAAAGCTTATCTTTTTTAACTGACATTAATGGCATGCCGAAAACAGCAGTCACTCAATATCAATCACAGTCTAGACAGTGAAGCTCTGCTATAATAAACATCAGTTCTGTAACATGATCAGATAAAGAATCCATTTGTGAAGGCACAACATCTTTTGTGAAAACACGCACACAGGCAGGAACACACGCCTCTCAAATGCACACATGTTACACCATTTCGGATAGTTTTGCCGGGGTTTCCTTCTTTCATGCTCCAGTTTTTTCAAACACGAGCCAACCTTGCACCACGAAACTGCAACTGAGCACCAAGGAGAAACAATGATTAACTAAACCGACCCCTTCAGGAGCGATTACGAAAGGAAGGGAAACAGAGAGATGATTTGCTAAAGTGTGAGAGTCAGACAGAGAAAAAGGTCTTTCCCAACCTGGCCTCTGACCGCATGGCTGTTTTCCAACAATAAATATACCAGCAGCCTTTACAAAGTTGTGAAGTTCTCAGGCGAAGTGAACTTATGCGACTGAGGGTAAAGATTCAAGCAAGTTACGGGAAACTCATTGTAACCTCTATTGAATGAACTTTACACGGTTTCTTTTTCTTCAAAACAATTTATATCAGTCTAACTCCACTGATATGGCACTTTTCTATATGAATTATAATCATTAATCACAATGCCCTACAGCTGAAAACCCTCTTTATAATGAATGTAATGCTCAAACATGTAAGATTCAAGTACAAGAACATTTGTCAAGATTCTCCCTAAAGACATGCTTAATATGTGCATATCTTTCATCTTCATGATATCGTCTTGGATTCCCTCTCCGCACAACAAGTCAAGCACACTGACTAGAGCTGAGGTGGGACTAATTGACTATGAGTTGATTCTAATTGGGCTTGAAGCTGCTGTGATAGCCAACCAGAGCTACAACTCTGAACTCCCATTTAGCGAGCGCAGTCAATAGTGGCACCAGATCATTCAAGGTCCACTGGAAAAGTGTTGTTTTGCCCGACTAACTCTATACCAGGAAATAAGCCGAAGCTTTTCTTGCTATTGTTACACACGTGATTGATTTGCACAGTCAGAACCATCGTTGACCTCTTGTTTGTTCAGGCCCTTTTCCTTAGGTTACTTAATCCCCTAACAAGTTACCGATTCAAACCTGCCTTGCTCCCAGAAATAAAAAATATAGAAAGCCATTGGTTTGAATTATGCCTATGCGGCCATCTGTTTGTATGTGTGAAAAGAAAAAAACTCTTATAACCAGAAGCGAATGACGCAAATGTCCTGAACGTCCCAAACAACAGAAAAACTGTCCTGTGTTCAAGTGCGTTTTGGATGGCCTATTACAATAGCGACTGACAATTACTATTGTTTGTTGGAGAGTACTTGCCTTTCATTTGATTACATTGTGTAGCAAATAATATTACAAAAGAGGAGTATGCATGCATGAATGAGAGGCAGAGGAGACAGGCAAGGACCAAAAACAACCTCTCTGCAAACACAACAGCCATATAACTCAGAAAATGCCCCTGAGCAGCACTCTATCATTTAGCTTCCCAAGCGAAAGTGGTTAGTGGGACTTAAGGAAAAAACCTTCCCGTTTCATCCATCATATGCAACTCTCTCTCTCCTATTAGTGAGCTTTGTGAGCGTCCATAGTATATTTGAAAATAATTCTCAGTAGACATTAATCAAACGGATAAGCCTTGAGCTAAAATGCAGAGATTCTTGTCAAGCTGTATGCCATACATTCTTCCTGGTTCCCATGCTTTGCCTTAATTAGCCATAGCAAAAAATACATGCCAATACCTCAAGGTTGCAGATGCTAAACCGAGCATGACTGAGCTGGGTAAGGGCTCGCATATCTGATAAGAACGTGAAGCAGAGTTCAGGGTAGATGAAGCATCGTGCTGTAACATGCTTTACTGGTTGGTAGCAGCAATAACAATGGGACATCATCGCACTCTTCTTGGATAAAATGCTCTTTGGTTCATGGGAGACTAATCCCCAAATGGCTTTGAATGATTAGTAAGTTTGACACATCATAAACTATAAATAATAATGCAAGAGCATGAATATATAACACACATATATTAAACATAAATAGAGACTTTCTTTACAATCCATCTTTGACAGTTTCTTGGAGACTACATTATTAATGTTTTTAGAGTCAACATGCTACTTTTATGATGTGACAAACAGCATATCCTCAGTCTTAATAGAATGTATATTTGTCCTTATATGTAATTTCCAAGTGTGTAATTTGTGCTTTATAAAATGTGACCTTACAGCCAAAACATTACTATTTTACTAAATATTGTGACACTGTAACTTTTTCTTTATCCTTTTATGTCTTGTTAAAAAACAATCTCTCTCTAGAGATTCAAAATATAAATAAATCGAATATATAACTTTTTTTGCATCAGTATTAAGCATGCCCAAACAGTTAGGAACTAATTTGTATTCAAACAACTTTTCAATTTTCCATTTCTTATTCTCTCTGAGAAAAAAAAAACGAGGGTCGCCCACTGTTCCTGGCAAAGAAGCCCATGATGTAACTAAGCAGAGAGAAAGTTGAATAAAAAATCATGAAGATAAAGATAAACCCAGAGGGACCATTTATTAAATGTAGGCACAAAATGAAGACAACGTAATGCAATATGACAGCAAAAACAGACAGAATTACCCCACTAAAACATCACATTACAATGAAACATGACAAAAAAAGACAACATTGATTAAACAGTCATTTAAATTCCCTTCAGCTCAAATCAATGCAACAGTATTTTTTCCCACTTTATCGAGAACAGAAAGATTAAAAATCACATCAAATTATTAAAAAATTAGACACCAGAAACAAACAAACATAAACCAACACAAAATGACTGTAAAGACACAAACGGGTTACCAAGTGACACCATAAAAACAAAGATGACCACAACAGAGACAAGGAGGCTAAATTAAACCGAACAAAGCCGGATAGAAAATGAACACACGTGTCACACAAACACAGCAGAGATTTAAATGTTCTTTTATGAAAAAAAAAACTTTACGGCCTTACCATGAAACATGATAAACATGTTGAAATTCAGCCTGAATGAATGGAGAAAATAAAATGGTGAAAATAAAAATAAAAAGACAGTTTGTGCATCTTTGCTTTTTAGTTTTTAAAAAAAGCCACAACCCCAGGATGATCATTTCCTAATTTGGTCTGTCTGTCAGTCTGTTACAGGGTCTGTTGGATTTGCTTAAGGATATGACATGCAGGGCTCTTTCTTTTACTGCTGGTGATTCTCTGCTGAATGATGTTTGGAAAATGTGTCAAGGTTCAGCTCATCCTAAATGTCTTGCAGCGACTTCCAGAGACACGAACTCTGCATCTTACCTCGTCTTTGCCTCACTGAGTGTGATCATTTTTGTAAAACAGAATGCTAAATGTGTCCGTCTTTTGCTCTATGTTTCTCTTATAAAGACGTTTTTGAATAATTGTTTTGACAAAGATAAAATAGAACATTGTAGGGATTATCAGTTACGTACATTACATCTCACTATTCTATACAACATC